GCAGGCATTATAAAAACATAAATTAAATAAAAATATTTGGAATGGAAGTTCAATCCACAACAACAATAATCAATAAGTACCAGGTTGACAGGAATTTACAGAGTTCGTCTAACAATGGCGCATCGAGTTTCATAAAACACAAGGTTAATGGTATAACATCGATATACGAACATCACATTGTCTCTTCTCGTCTCGAATCATAATACAATAAATTTCATATCCACTGTCGGGTTTAATAAATATCCCGCGCAGAGGGCGTAATAGTAAAGTATTAATACGCCCTACGACTTGAATTCGTCTTCATCATTACTCACTGGTACTTCACTAGCGTATACCGATAGCGCGGACGGCGTAAACTCTATTTTCATTCCAATAAAAAAAAATAGGATAATTTCATCAGTTGTTGTATTATCCATTAACTGTCCACTGCTGGATATAGCCTCCCCTATAGAGAAGGTTTTGCCAGTAGGTGCCATTCTTGGAGGGGTTGGCAAACGCAGTTTGACTTTTGGTGATATTTACAGAGGGAATGCTGCCCATCCCTCGACTTTGAGCTCCTTTAGTCGCCTCTTACGACACCTACAGGAAATGGAGTATCTATTCTATCTCTGCATAGAATCTTTCTTTACGATAGTTTCATTAGTAGGTTATACATTACCATTATAATGAAATAAATAATAATCTTTATTTACTACTTACAAGGAATATTTTACATTGTGTGACTATTTAGTATTTTAACTTGATATTATTATCCTTGTGAGAGTCTGGAATCTGAACTAGGTCGAAACCTGTACATATATAAAACATTCTATACTATTACATTCTAAACGAAATCTAACTTTTTGTCTGCTACTTCTACTGCTTGCTTTAGAGGACAAAAAGCCGTCGTCCAGTAAGCCACCTCAGAAGCCATTACAACAACAACATGGTCTTCTCTTGCCCGCCGGATGATGTGTGGGCGGGCGAGGTAGGGGCCTCGAGGCGTACCCCATTACCCCGGCTTCTACTCCGGAGGCGACGACCTCCGGGTCACTGGGTTTGCAGCCGGCATACACTGTTGGTCTGTGTACGCCGACGTGCTGTCTTCACAGAAGCCTTAGATTTTAACTAAGGTGGCATAGAATGTAGAGGGCACTACCCTAGCATCCTGCCACATAGTATTTTGATGGAATTGTATATGGCATCCAATTCCAGCAAACTATAAGATATTTCGAACGCACGCTGTCCCTTACTTTATGAAAAATGTATTTTATAGAGATATCAAACTTGATAGCTTTCGACACTAGTCGAATATCATCTGGAGACTGGACTGGGAGACAGATGTCATAGACAACAGTTGGCCGGATGCCAACTGGAAGGGTATCGAGTAATATAATGCCCTCTGCATATGATACAGCCGAGTCAATTAGGTTGTAAATTTAAATATTTATTGCACTAATACATCTGTTGTTGGCGACGACATAGAGTACTTTAGCTGTGCATAGAGTGCAAACTTCAGTGATTCAACAATATGGAAAACAGTAAACGGTGGTCATAAACAGAAACAATACTGTCATATCACCATTTCATATATTTATTTACACAGCGTTTAAATAAATATATAAAATAGTACTGAATACATTCGTATTACACACTGTCGTCTAGTCCTTTTGCTAGGGAGAAGGGATTGTTAGTAATGCGGACTAGCGGTCCCATTGCTAGCAATATGGGTATATTGCTTGCACTGGGACCAAGTAGCGGTTTCTCTTAGAAAACATCGTGGTCTATTCTATTTATTTATTTTATTCATTGGAAAATATTATATTTTTTATGTATTCAACATGTTGAGTTAACTGTAATGTTTTCATCCTCACCTATCACCCCTCATTGATTTCGCGCCAGCGTATACTGTTAGCGGAAACGGAGTTATCATATTCTACTAGAATAAACAGATGAACAGGGACGGAGTTATCATTTTATTTTTATAGAAAAAAAAAATAAATAAAACAGAACAAACTTATTATATTTAATACTATTTTAAATACGTGTTTGTATGATTGTAATACGGGAATTGAATCCATTAACCGCGGTAGATCTAAATTTGTCAAGCGGCTATATCATCAAGTTGTATTAATTAACGTTTTCAGGTTACCGCTTTCTAAATCGAACGCTACGCGCTAGGTATAACCTCTCTGTACTTACGATTACGTAGGTGGGTGATAGAGAACAATAAAATTGATGGATGAAATTGAGGGATGGAAAGCGGTGACAACAATGTGTCCTTGCCTCCCCATCACCCCTTCCACTCCTTTTCATTGTAGCGGTATTGTGGAGTTAAAACAATCGCCTATAAATAATCACTGAAATATCTTTTGGCGTGAATTCTAAAGTTTATTTATTTTACAGCAGGCGAAAATTTCGACAAATACAACAACTACTGTCAGACCCCTTACTCGAAATGTTTCGATTCGAAACGGAGTTTTTCAAAATGGCGCGATTTTAGAAAAATATAAATTAGGGCTATGGACATCTCGTTTTGCAGATAGCTCCTAATTATTGCGTATAAATTGTTATAATAAGTGTATCATAATGTGTTAGAAGCATGAATGTTCTTTGATTGATTTTCTTTACTGTTTTATATAATTTAATGTTTCAAGATACAATGCTATCGATATATATTGAATCAAATGTTTTAGGTAGCGTAGCGCTTAGAAAAAAGATCTAAACAAAGCATTTCTCCAGGAATGCGATAATGAAAATGGCCAACTTTATTAAAATAGCGTACATTTTGAGATGGATGTAAAGCATAACTATATTTAATTTACTTTTATGACAGTAAATTAATATAGTTTTAAAAAGATTGCTCTCAGCAATAAGATCGCCTTACTGTACTTATACAACTGTATCGTTACATTTATTGTTTTGCTTATTTCCTATTTTGTATAATGCAAGTCAAGTATATTCATTTATTCATAATTTTATTTATATTGATAATATTATCAATTTGAAATATAGACTGAAAAGTCAACAACAAAACATGTCCATTTTTTCAGATATCCTAAGTCCTCAGGAATGGCGACGCATGGGGGGTATCATGGGCGAAACAGTATACTTTGTTATGTCCACGGTACTGCTCATGTCTATAGGCGACGGTTACCGCTTTCCATCAGGTGGGCCGTCAGCTTGTTTGCCATTCTAAGTTGTAATAAAAAAAAAAAAGTTTTTTTGAACTTCGAAATTCTGTCTAGATGAAAAAGAACCAAGTATACTGGTAAGAGTCGTATAGAATAAAATCCTTATTCATTCAGATAATAAGAAGCTCGTGCCCTTATTATACCTTAAACCATTACTTTATCCCATAATCAAAATAAAAAAGAAATTCCCTCGCGACGGTAATCTCAAATGAAATGGTAAATGACATTTGGTCGACTGCATATTTGTGTAAATACAAATATAAGTACTTACTTTTTTTTCAATGGGTGAAAATGGTATGGTAACCCCGCCCGCGCGAACGGGATACGCTGGCGGAGCACCAGTGAAGGGTGATAGATGAGAATGAAAACAGGCCAGTTAGCCCATCATGATGAATTCATCAGGAACTGGTTGGGTATATTGCTAGCAATGGGATGCTCAGTCTCTATTACTAACAATCCCTTTCCCCCCAAGAACTTACTTTGTTAAGTATAAGATTAGGTATAAATTAAGCATATACGAATTAGTCAGTTAAAAACAATTCTGCCTTTTGACTGTACGATGGTCAGTAAAAAATTGGATTGGGAATGTATTATTTATTTTTGTGCCTGTAAATTTGCAATCGACACACGTTCCGTATAAACGTGAAGAGTGCCGATGTCGCGCCGTCAGCCTTGAGCGTTTAGGTAGTGACCGTCTTTATTTGGGGTTCAAATATTATTGATACAGTACTCACCTCGGAATATCAACAGTGGAGTAATGGAATAATACTATGTATCATCATACTTTTTCATCCCCAGTTAGTCGTAGGGTACGGTAAGGTAATAAAACACGATATACTAGCGTAAGAGAAAGAAAACTCGAACGAACTATACAAAACAATCTGTTTTTTTTTATACTACTTAGAATGGCAAACAAGCTGACGGCCCACCTGATAGAAAGTGGTAACCGTCGCCTATAGACATGAGAAGTACCATGGACATAACAGAGTATACTGTTTCGCCCACGATACCCCCCATGCGTTGCCATTCCTGAGGACTCGGGTGTTATTCCTCTGTACCCAGTAAATTCACGCCATATTCCACCCTTCAAACCGAAACACAGCTATGCAAACACAACTGCTTCACGGTTGAAACACGAATGGGACAGAGGTACCCAAGCAATCGACTTTTGTACAAAGTCTCCCTCTGGTGAGTCTAAATGTGTATATAGTAAGCTAATATCTTAGGGTCCGACCTAATGGCACGATAGACTTCACTACTAGTAAATATAGGGCTAATCCTTCCTTTTCCATGGGTGTCATAAGAGGCGACTAAGAAAGCTTAATGGTCGAGGCAGCAGCGTTCTTCTTATAACATCACCAAAAACATAACTGTCGTTGCCAATCCACTTGCTATACGTGGCAACTACTGGTATAATTCCCCTTATGTGGAGGCCTATGTTCAGCAGTGGACAGTTAACGGCTGATATGATGATGATGATGATGATGATGATGATGATGATGATGATGTCTAGTTAATATGGTCATTCATTGTTATGAGTTTCCTACCAAGATTTTTCCTAGAAACTATAGAATAGAATTTTTCAAAAAGAGCATGAGAAGATTTTTTCTAGCAACGCGTACGTGACACCCCTAGTGTTGCAAGCGTCCATTGGCTACAATGACCGTTTACCAACAGACGGTCAGTATGTTTAATTGCTACTTCTACTATAAAAAAAAAGATTGCAAATGTTTCTGCTTAACGGCAAAAAGCTGGATTTCCCTCACTTCTTATATTGAAGAATTCATACCTATAGTTTATGGGCTATTCTACGGTGTTGGTACTCACCTTGTGATACGTGTCTTTCTGCCAGTTCTTGATTTGCGTGATGACGTCATTGACGAGCCTGTCCCGTACACCCAAGTGTAGGTCGGACAGCCTCTCCGCTTCCACCATGCCGCCTTTCCATGCTGCCTCCATTGTACCATATTCAGGACCTGAACACCAAACAATAATAACAATAGTTTACGATCTATTCAATGTGTCGTCGACCTGTTTAGCAATGAACGTCCGCCATTTTTGTTGTAACAATGCAATTAATATTTATTGTTTGCGGTTTATGAAGTCCAGTGAAAATATATACACATATAAATTAATTATACACACACACGTATATATAATATAAATTAAATATTAATTAAAATGGTTGACTGGGAGAGAATGCTTTTAGCATTAAGTCCGCCATGTACACATATTTGTACTAATGAATAAATAAATAAATAAAAAGGAAATGGTTTTCAATCAGACAGTTTTCATGGAACTTGAAATGGTAAACAAACTGACGGTTCACCTGATGCGGTAATCATTGTCCATAGTCTATCACAGAATCATGGACATCATACTTATTGTATGATACACTGTGATGGCCGTGATACCTTTAATAAGTTGCAATTTCTAAGGTAAAATAAACCATTTCTCTATTGATTTATATTATCGCGTTCTCTAAATATTCTTGGATATATTTCAATATATCCTTAAATATTTAGAAATAAGTTTAAATATTTTTTTTATTATACCTATAACATATAATAAGAAATATATATAAATAAAATATATAATATTATAATAAGTATTTCATAAATTTCTTGAAATCCTTACTAAAATTATATACATGTGGCCGTGTGCCCCTGCATAGAATAGGCCAGCCCATTCTTTCCCGCGAGTGTCGTAAAAGGCGACTATGAGAACTTAATCGTATATACGTTAACCTCCGTATAAGGGATTTAGAAGGTTATATATTATGTTACTATTTACCCCGGGCAGTGAACATATTTCGGTCACATAAAGAAAAACGCGTGTAAAAGTTAGTAACAAAATAAACAAAGCACTCCAATAAATTAAAATCAATTTAGGAAGCTGATATACATAGTAATAAAATCATGTCAATTGAACACATTAAAGTTAAAAGATAGATCACGCGGTCACTAATTTGTTTTTAATTAATTTCATTGATAAGTAATATAACTTGAGACATAAGCCGAATATTTGACGAACATGATAAAATATATATGACATTGTTGATAGTAGGTAGTATGTAATTAAAGATTAATATAACAGTACACTAAAATGAATAGGGGCTTCAATTCTGTTTATTTTTTAACGAATGATAATGGAATAGTAATCCCACCTGCGCTGAGTGAGGGATGATAGGTGAGAATGAAAAGGCAGGTCTGTTAGCCCATCGTGACGACTTCCACAAGAATTAATTTAAGTATTAACCACGAAAGTTTCCTGGGGGAACCGCGTGGAGGTCGACCTGTTAGTTTGACCCATTACTAACAATCCCTTTCCTACCTAATAAAAAAAATTAAAAACTAGCATTTTTTTAGCAGCCTGTCAAAAACGAAAGGCAACGTTATTTTAGTGTTGCATAAATATTTAGAGATTTATCATACTGTGTATACAAACATTTTATCATATATCTATTCCTAATATTATAAAGAGGAAAGATTTGTTTGTTTGTCTCCAAAGGATAAACTCAAAAACTACTTAACCGAATTAAAAAAAAAAAATCTTTTCACATATAGAACGCTACATTATCAGCGAAATTACATAGACTATATATTATTTCGAAAATTCTATCTACAAAAGTAACAAATTTAGTAACATTTATCAATTTGAAACAAACCTTGAAGTTTATAATACAAAGAAATATCGGATTAACTATTTGTAATCTATTAATACGTATTGAACTAAATATGAAATCATCATTATATTTACTTAATACCTAATAACTTTAGATTATATAGATAGAGCATCGAGTCTCAAAAACGGGTCAACATTTTGTCAGCTAATTGTCAAATCAGCTGACTAGTTTTTTTTTATCAGTGTTCTATATTCTTACGCACATAATGTATCTATATTTATTTTATTTATTTATTTAATTCTTTATTGTACACACCAGTTATAAGAATATGACAGAGGTAATCAAATGTACAAAGGCGAGCTTAAATCTAATAGAGGTTCCAGCAACACCCAAAGTGGAAAGGAGCATCAATGTCAGCGGATAGAGCAGTGTTATTTAAGTATTTAATATGAGTTTATATGCATTAAAAAGAAACAAAAATTATAAAACAATAATAAATATAAAATAAATAAACGTTATATAATAATAGACATTATAAAGGAATCATAATTACTTATCACGAAAATTGTATGAAAATGTTGACCCGCATTTCTCGAAGCATTTGTATGGAAACACCCTATCTATATAATCTAAGCTAACAAAATACATATAGTAGTGTATTAGTACTGAACACCAGGGGGAAATCATTGTGTGGTTCCGGCGACCCCTTCCATTCCTATGTCGTAAGAGGTGACTAAGGGAACATCAATGACCTAACTGCAGTCGCCAATCCGTCTGCCAAGTGTGGCAACAATTGACAAAAAACCCCTAAGAGGAGGCTGATGTTCAGCAGTGGACAGTTAAAGGCTCATATGATGATGATGATGATGATTACATACAACTATTTGAAAGACAAGTAGGTAATAATTCTAATAATAAAAATATGTACATTTGAGGAAACAATAAAGAGTATCTATCTATCTAGCTACATTAAATTGTATACCTGTATAATTTTCATTCAGATGAAATAAAAAAAAAGACGCTGTATTTGACAGCCCTACGTTATGTCATTACATACGGGGTGTGCACAATCAACTTCATAAACAAACCAGTCTCATCGAGGCGCGCGGCGGTTGTCGCAAGCAGTACTTTCACAACTCGATTTACACTGCAACGTAACAAGTGCAGCGAGAATGACCGATTCGCATACCGTTCTAAATTCAATCGGGCGACACTTTCGATTTTCGAATAAGGTTCTCGAGGGTTGCCAACCCTATTTTATTGCAGTGACACAAGACAGACGGCGCAATTGCAAATTTAATAAAAAATAAGGAAACTACTGAATAACTTTTATTCGCTCTGTAATTTTATTGTTCACATCTGCAACCTTGATCTGCAGTCATTACCACTGATAACCATACGACCTCAGTGATGATCCTCCTCCATCTAATAGGGGTCGTATAATTAACCTATTCTTTTTTTAATTATATTATAAATACAAGAAGATAACGTTTATTATTATATTAATTGTAATAAATAACAAATTACATTAATGCATTGTATTTAGTTAAATATTTATCTTAGGCTAATTTAATTTTTAAACATGGCTATAGATAGTATACCAGAGGGAGACTTTGTACAAAAGTCGATTGCTTGGGTACCTCTGTCCCATTCGTATTTCAACTGTGAAGCAGTTGTGTTTGCATGGCTATGCATCGGTTTGAAGGGTGGGATATGGCTTGAATTTACTGGGTACAGAGGAATAACACCTGAGTCCTCAGGAATGGCAACGCATGGGGGGTATCATGGGTGAAACAGTATACTCTGTTATGTCCATTGTACTGCTCATGTCTATAAGCGACGATTACCACTTTCCATCAGGTGGGCCGTCAGCTTATTTGCCATTCTAAGTTGTATAAAAAAAAAAATATAGATTTTGATGCGGATTTTTCTATACAGTATAGTTTAGAAAAATTCTTTCGAATAATTTTTCTGTATAATACATGCCAAAAAGTTAATGATTTGTAAAGAAGCCGTAAAAAACTGGAGTTATGTAAAAAATTTCGTCTTTTCAGCAATCAAGGAACGTGTTAAATTTATGTTTCTAACGCTGATCATGATTCATTTGCAGTGGTGATTTATCATGCAATTATTCTGTCTGCACCACGAGATGTGGTAACCCTAATTGAGAGCGAAACTTGCACTCGCATACGTCGTAATTGCGCTACGCGATTCGTAAACGAATACTCGTCCGTGTACCGAATACATCAGTGGTCATCGAATTTGTACCGAATACCGATTCGGCATTCCGAATGGGCTTTCGATTTCTTTGCGTCCGAGTTGCAACAGTGATGTAATAATGAAAAATTATCGAGTGAAATTGCGACGCGTGATACGAATATGGATACTTGTCCTTACATCAAAAAGAGAGGCATCATACATAGACATACGACTATATCCATGTGGATACAGACGACGAACGAAGAAAAGATTTTGAGCGATGATATGATGATATTTTAAGCGTCTCTACTACTACTAAACTATTTCCTGTGGAATGAAGGGATTTTTAGTATTGGGGAGGTTAGTCCTCATTGCCATCAATATACCCTATCAGATCGACCTCCACACGGTTCCCACTGGAAACCATCGTGACTAATTTATCGTTGAATTCGTCACTGTAGGCTATCTGACCTGCCTTCTCATCCTCACCAAACCCTCACTGGTGTCCTGGCGGGGTATATACCATTAACGCAGGCGGGGTACCATTCCATTATCATGTAAAAAAAAAAAAACTATTTCCTGTGATTTTACAAAAATGATTTAATGATAGCAAACCACTTACAAACCAAGCATTTTCAAAAATAGCGTCTTTGGTAATGTTTTTTTTTTCAATACATATAGAAACTCCAAGTCGAAATTCAGCCGATGTCCAAGTAAATTTTAAGTATAGTTAATGCAAGTACGAGTTTATAAGAAGTTTGATGCAAGTTTATAAAAAAAAAAAACTAATCATAAAACTTAATCGTAAACCTAAGGAGGTTTCGTACGAAACCCTTACAAAGAGACATACTATCATCAATAGGTACTGTTTTTAATAATACTTTTACAATATAAACGTTTTTTTAAACAAATTTTATAAAGCAACTTCGAATCGAAATTTAGCCATAGTCTAAATAGACTGTTTTGTGTTTAGTTAATGCTAAAAAACTTGAACTAAAAAACACAGTTACACCATCTATTTAAATCAATGTCTGGGCATTTTAAATTAGATGAGCTAAATACGGAAATTGTTAATTCCATTAACGTATACTGTGATTTCGCTTCTTCGGTAAAAGTGTTAAGTAAGTACCTACCGTCGTTCTTTGAATTCAA